TGATTGAAAAATTATAACTTTGTTGTCTACTACCAAATAGATGATCAAAAATACTGTGATGTCACTTTCCCCCTCCTTATATACTCATTTACAATTACGCATTAAAAATATTGTCCGTGAAGCTTTTTTTGTGGTTACAAATAAGTAGAGGCTAGGAACGATTCCGCCATATTTGTTGAGAACATAACTGATACGAAACTTGTCTGCACTGGGTATGACATTATTAGTATGCTAGAATTTCGTATTGACAACATATTTGTTGGGTTTGGTAGGTACATTTTCTACAGAAATGTCGACATTTGAATGTGGTCTGTGCTACATTGCTAACTGATTTGAGCTGAACTTCTACAGGTGTTAACTAAAAACAGACTATTTAACCAAAAAAAATTATTTTAATTTTACTATCATCAATTTTCTACAAATTTAGAGGAAATTTCCAATTCTGTCCTACCTATTTCTCCTAATATCTAGCTCATTCACTATACCTTTTATTGTAGTACATATACTTTTGAAGAAAAAAAATAGCTTCTATATCCTAGCTAATTAGCCTTGATTTTGTTTAGAAAATTGGTCATAAATCGCATGACAATGTTCATTTGTTTATTATGTAAAATCACGGAGCTATTGTCTCATGGCATATTTTTTTCACAGTGTCGTATATGGTTCACATGTCTGATAGATGGCGGATATCTGATTCACTTGTCTGATATATGGCGGGCATATGATTCACTTGTCTGATGTATGGCGGGTACATGATTCACTTGTCTGATATATGGCGTGTATGATTCACTTGTCTGATGTATGACGGGTATATGATTCACATGTCTGATGTATGGCGGATATATAATTCACTTGTCTGATATATATGGCGGGTATATGATTTACTTGTCTGATATATGGCGGATATCTGATTCACTTGTCTGATATATGGCGGGTACATGATTCACTTATCTGATGTATGGCGGGTATATGATTTACTTGTCTGATGTATGGCGGATATATAATTCACTTGTCTGATATATATGGCGGGTATATGGTTCACTTGTCTGATGTATGGCGGGTATATGATTCACATGTCTGATGTATGGCGGGTATTTGATTCACTTGTCTGATATATGACGGGTATATGATTCACTTCTCTGATGAATGGCGTGTATGTGATTTACTTGTCTGATGTATGACGGGTATATGATTCACATGTCTAATGTATGGCGGGTATATGATTCCCTTGTCTGATGTATGGCGGGTATACGATTTACTTGTCTGATGTATGACGGGTATATAATTCGCTTGTCTGATGTATGGCGGGCATATGATTCACTTGTCTGATGTATGACGGGTATACGATTCACTTATCTGATGTATGGCGGGTATGTGATTTACTTGTCTGATGTATGGCGGGTATATGATTCGCTTGTCTGATATATGGCGGGTATATGATTCACTTGTCTTATGTATGTCGGGTATATGATTCACATGTCTGATGTATGACGGGTATGTGATTCACTTGTCTGATGTATGGCTGGTATATGATTCACATGTCTGATGTATGACGGGTATATGATTCACTTGTCTGATGTATGGCTGGTATATGATTCACTTGTCTGATGTATGGCGGGTATGTGATTCACTTGTCTGATGTATGGCGGGTATATGATTCACTTGTCTGATGTATGGCGGGTATATGATTCACTTATCTGATGTATGGCGGGTATATGATTCACTTATCTGATGTATGGCGGGTATATGATTCACTTGTCTGATGTATGGCGGGTACATGATTCACTTATCTGATGTATGACGGGTATATGATTCACTTGTCTGATGTATGGCGGGTATATAATTCAAACTTGTCTGATGTATGGCGGGTATATGATTCACTTGTCTGATGTATGGCGGGTATATGATTCACTTATCTGGTGTATGACGGGTATGTGATTCACTTGTTTGATGTATGGCGGGTATATGATTCACTTGTCTGATGTATGGCGGGTATATGATTCACTTGTCTGATGTATGGCGGGTATATGATTCACTTCTCTGATATATGGTGGGTATACGATTCACTTATCTGATGTATGACGGGTATACGATTCACTTATCTG